AGGGATATGCTGGGGTGGCTCCTGGCGTTCCCGCCCAGCCGATTGAGGTTGGACCTTTGTGGTGTTACCTTCGTTTGCATACCCGCCGTGAAGTTGCGGTGAGACACAACCGGGCACCGTCCTTCCAGAGACGGTAGAGCTTTAAGAAGGGCTCGCACCAACCTGTGTGGATACGTGACGGGCTTGTACCCAGGTATCGACTGAGAGCAGGTCAACTGGCACACCTTGCGCGCTGATTGAGCGCATCTCAATCCCTCGCCCATGGTGGCAAACTACGGCGAAACCAATATGGGGGAAACCCCGAGGTGCGGTTGACTCTCCTTACAGGAGGGTCACGCCTACATTAAATGTATCTATAGGGTGACCTTCCCGCACGGGATCACTCTTTCTACCGTTCACCGTGTTAGTCACTTGTAATACACACGGATATAATGGGAAAAGTTTTACTCAAAACGACCCTATACTCAATGTTTTCGTTGCCAGGCTTTCGGGCACTCTTCGTCGAATTTCGGGCACGGCCCGCGTTGTGTAAAATGCGCAGAACCTCACCTAACCGCTGATTGTACTAAGACTAGCGATACGCCTCCGGTATGCGTAAATTGCAGTGGTTCTCACACTGAAAATATTTTGAAATGCCCGTCACTAGAGAGTTACATCTCAAAACGGGTAAAAATTCAATCGTGGGCTGTGTCCGAAAATTTCGCCCAGCCTCATTTCGTCTCAACCCCACCGCTGCGACCTACGCGACCAACCGTCTCATAGCACGATGATACACAGATCGGTATTAACTTAGCAGCTCCGAGGCCATCAGCCACCAATAATACAGCGTCCGTAACATCCACAATTCAGGAAACTTTGGATATCTTCTCGCCGATATCGAAAATTTGCAATGTCGGTAGACTATTAAGGGCAGCCAGAGAACTCCAGGAAGGCCTCAAGTCGTATTCCATTGAATCCGAACAGCTTGCTGTTTTTCTTAGAGTGTCCTCTTCATTCAATTGAAGGGACACTTACCTCGATTTTTGCTCTGGAATACGGGCTCTGTGCAATCCAGACGTAACGAGACCTCGTTTCTTTTACAGGAACATGAGATCAACGTCGTGCTAATAACAGAAACTTGGCTCAAACCAAACGTAAATTTTATTGTTCCCGGATATGATGTTGTTCGGGTTGATCGGGACTCTTCGGAAAACGGTGGGGGTGTCGCTATCATAATTCATCGGTCTCTAGACTATAAAGTCATTCCGTTTGATCCCATACCAGGAGTCGCAGTTGCTGTTATCAAACTCACTACTCCGGTGGTCACGGTTGCCTGTTTATATGTACCACCCAAAATTAATTTGACAAATCACGCGCTAGGCAGACTCTCACACTTACGTCCTCCTTTTATAATAGGAGGCGATTTTAATGCTAAACATCAGTGGTGGAACAACCCGTACGCGAATAAAAACGGCCGCGTACTATACGACCACGTGACTCGAGCCACTCACCGTCTGATCTCCCCGGATAGTTTCACTTACAACGACGGATCACATGTCCGCCCTTCCACTCTGGATCTATTTCTAGTACAACACAACTCAAACGTCGAATGCACTGTAATCAATTATTCAATTACCCAGCATAAACCAGCGATACTGAGTTATACTCCACTAAAAAATTTTAACAGTTCGACCGCACAATGTATTACCGACAGGGATAAGGCAAATGCCCTTGCACAATCTTTTGCTCACGCACATTCCGCGATCTTAAACCTAAACTCTCCGTATGAAAACGCTGCGAACGAATACGCGACGTGTCTAAAAACAATCGACATAACAGAATCTCAAAGTGACGTCACTATTGAACCTTCCGTGATCGCCGGAGTGATACGAAACCTTAAAAACAAAAAAACGCCTGGTCATGATAATATTAACGCCCTCATGTTAAAACATTCGGCTAAGAAGATCGTCCTCCAGTTATATTACATCTTCGAAAATTGCATTAAGCACTTGTACTTTCCAGACGCCTGGAAGATCGCGAAAATTACGCCGATACCTAAACCCGGAAAACCCAAAGATCGAGTCGACGGCTACAAACCCATCAGTCTTCTTCCACTTCTTGGAAAGGTTTTTGAAAAATGCCTATACAAGAACCTCATAGTTTTCTTAGATAAAGAAGGGGTGCTGATTGAGCAGCAGTTTGACTTGAGAACTCGTCACTCCACTACACACCAACTTGTACGCCTTGCTCAACTAAGCACTCACGAAGTGAATGGGGGCAGATTCGCCAGTATTGTCCTGCTTGATCTGGTAAAAGCTTTCGACACGGTTTGGCATCAGGCACTCCTGCTAAAATTAGCCAAAATTGGACTCAATGAAACTTTTATCAAATTAATTCAATCCTACCTCACTGACAGGTTAATTTACGTTTCACTTAACGACTCCGACTCGCTTCAACACCCTGTACTGGCTGGCGTCCCTCAAGGGAGTCCCCCAAAATCCTTCGACCGATTTTATTTAATTTATTCATAAACGACATTCTCAAATCAACACACTCACAATTGTCACTCTACGCGGACGACACACTGCTTTTCACTGCTTCTTACAATCATAACATGCTAATTGCCAAACAGCAGGAGTACTTGGAGAAAGTTGTTTCATTTTTTCAGAACTGGAAACTGACAGTAAATCCGTCGAAAACTAACGCGGCATACTTCACGAGCCGTAGATAACGCGAAGCTGTTCCAGATTTAAGCATGCAGGGAACGCAAATTCCCTAGTTAGACCAGGTAAAATATCTGGGTGTTGTGTTTGACCGGCATCTCACATGGGAGGCGGCCGTTTTCAACCGAGTTAACAAAATGCGTAAAGCTGCAACTATATTACTCTCTAATCTCAACAAATCCTCTAGAGTAAATAGAAACCTTAGAATCACGACTTACAAAGTCTGTCTTAGAACCGTGCTAGCGTACGGGGCACACATTTGGTCCGCTGCTGCGCCCACGTACCTTAACAAAACAATAGTTGCAGAAAATAGAATATTAAAATTCATTGATGGACGTCCATCGTACTGTAGAACTAAAAAATTACGAGGACCTACATATAGAACACATCTTGCCATATATACAAAATTTAATTGCTGAATATCAAGTTTATTTACACACAAACTCACTCATTCGTGTCACAGGGCAATGTCGCCCCGAACAAACTCCTTACAAAATTAAAAAACACTTTCTATTGTCGGTCGGGCACGCGCTGCCCCTTTAAAAAACACCTCATGAACGCTCGCGCCTGAACGTTGACTACTGCTCTCTTTTACTACCTACTCTCTGTTCGTCCCGCATGTGCCTCTCGCACAACTGTGCCGCGATCATTTTCACGCACGCAGGCCTCTCATGTCTTCCTCCTGTTTCAACTGCATCATATAAATCTTTTTACTGCACGAGCACGTATTCCAGAGTTTTATCATTATCAGACTCGCTTTTGCGCGCCTTTCACATGAAAATTGGGTTTTTTCAAATTTCCCCTAACTTTAAAATTCATTTTCTTAAATTATTTCACACAGGTAATACCAAACTTGGACTCATTCATTCAATGCCGGTAAAGGGACAACAAAGCTCCTAGGAACGGATCACCTTCACTGACGATACATAAAAAAAAACCCTCATTATATGCTGTATGGCAGTCAAACAGTCCACGTAGGACACAACTAATTTTTCTGCGACAACTGAAATATATCAGAATAAATTTTTTTTGTTATCCAAACTATAACATCTGCTACAACATTCACCTGCCATTTCAACCAACCTCCGTATATGGAGGTTAACGTTGCCGTACCAGCACAGACGCAGAACCTACAACTGCGATACAACAATGATTCACTTATAAGTAGTAATTATAAAGTAGTAATTATATTTTAAGATAAATAAATAATACTGGTTTTATTACATGTTTAGTAACAAGATTTTATCCAAAGTTGTACACTGACGTGCAAACTCGGCTTCCGCTTGGGGAAAAGATGTCGTAAGGGAAGGGCCTCACACACTTGATAAATTTATTTTAAGTATTGTAATAAATGTGAAATCCAATGTTAATTTGGCATTTTCATAGTTCCTGATACCAAATAGTAAGAGGCTCTTACCCTATGTCACTTTTTCCCTGAGTGGAAGTCAAGTTTGCTCGTGAGTGTATGTTTTAATCTATTTTCTTTACTACTGATTATATTTCCTGCTTTTGAATTTTATTTCTATTTTTTTAATTAAACTACTATTTGTAACTAAAAAAGAAGTAATAAACGAATAGTATACCAATATTGTACGTAATAATAAATAAATAATAACGTATTAATAGATTAAAGTAATAAATTCAATACTATGTAAATACTTAATAAATTAGTCACGACGGTTTTATGTAGTTAATAAAGATTATATATACTGTTTTCCTAAAATCACCGCTGTTTAGTATTTTCCCGTCAACTATATCCCACGTTATATTAAGTTTAAATACAATTTTGTTATTCAATAAATAATATGTATAAGCAATAAACTTATTTTTTCACAAATTGTCTCAATCATTGGGAAACGTTTTCAATTTGTTTACATTTTATTTCTCTCATTCGCCACACACCCCGCCCCCCAAATAATTAAATAAATAATAAAAACAATAAATTTATTTAGGATAACTCAAAATTTTCGGGTATTCCTTAATATTTTATGTCAATGATACTGCTTGAATAAAAGTACCTATAAAAAACCTATAAAAAATCTCAACATTTCCAAGACTTCGAATCCGTTGAAAATTTCGAAGCAGCGCAAGATTTTAAAGAGTTTTAAGCTTCGATTCAGATTTGAAGCGATTCGGTGTACGTGAAGTCGGCCGATAACCGCTGGCTCAGTGGACTCACGTATACGTGAGTCCGGCCGTCAAAGTGTTAAAATATAAGTCAAAATAATTGATAATGTATCTTTAGTTGCGTTTGAAGAAACTGTATAACATTAATGAATAATTTGTAAAATGGCATACCTTTATGTGCTATAAGAAGATATAACATTGATGATATAATAGCAGGTAAAAAATATATAGCTTGAAAATCTCTGACTACGACTTTTTCAGTTGACAGTCGTAAATACAAACATAGAGAACTTATAACAAGACCAACACCTGTAATGCCTGTAATGAGGCAAATTTCAGAGTAACTAGCATCTTCTTTTAGTATAGTTAAGACTGCGCTTAGTCCTACCAATGTTCCAAGCCATAATCCACTGTTGGCTTTTACCCTAAAAGTATTATTCAGTTATGATTCTGGGCCGTAAAAGCCTCAAATCTTTAAAAGTATTATTGTAAAATTTATATAATTGGATTGACCTTTAGAACATATTTTTACTACAATAATCATATCAAAACACAAATAATGTAGAGAACAAATTATGTTGTCTACTGTTAAAATATTAAATACAATTTAAAAATATGTTATACCTCGTACATATTATTATTTTCAATAAAAGAATATATTGAAAATACATTATTTGAAAAGGTATCAAATAATTAGAAATTACGTATATTATAAATGAGTAAAAAGTCAATTTTCTCAATAAGTTATAATATTCTAAGTGAACTATCAAAAATCGTTTGTCAATATCAAATGCAAGTACATTAACCCCTTACGTGTCTAGCCCGGGACTGTCACTGGCTAACATGACGCACGCATATTGACTTTAACCTACAAATTTTTTTCAGTTTACTAGCCAAAAATACTTACAGTTTCTTACATAAATTCGTAATCTGAGGATATTATATCACACTTTTTAATTGTTAGTGGTATATGAAGTACTTTTAACAAAATAGAGAAAGAGAAGATCAAAATGAAGTATAAATACACATTATTTCTCTTAGGAGTATTAACGTTTATTACAATATTAAAAAACAATTAACAATGTGATTGGGTGTGATATATGTATATACACCAAGATAAAGCTCAAAGCTATTAAAAAGAAAAACCAATAAGGTGATTAAGTACTGAAGATTGAAGGAATGGGTGAAAGGTGGTAGCATCAAAGTTGTAAAAATTACTATTGTTTGTTCATTAAATATGTAAGGGACAGTGTTAAAAAGGCAATATATATTGTTTAGTGTAAATCGTAGCTGGATTGTGCAGAGATGAATGACTAAAGTAAGCAAATTGCTAAGCAACATGCAATTGCGGTAGCGGGCGCATGGCTGTGCTCGTGGTACGGACATATAGGTACCCTCGCGAGTAAACTCGGTTTCCGTTAGGGGAAAAAGTGGCGTAAGAGAAAGGCCTCCTACCACTTGGTCTCGGAGTTACTGAAATTTATGTGAAGTTAATATTCGGTATAACATTTATTTCAATATTTGAAATAAATTTATCGAGCGGTAGGAGGCTCTATTCCTTACATTGCTTTTCGCGTAGAGGAAGCCGAGTTTGCTCGTCAGTGTACAAATGTGCCAGTTAGGCGTGTCCGTATACATCAAGTGTGTGTAGATACGTTAAGGGGTTAATCTGCCCGTGACAGTCACGGGCTTATGGGCCTCGCTCACATCACGTTTACGTAGGGCCATACTTTTTATTATAGTTGTATTTGTAGTATCAGAAGAACATGTACATTGTTTTTTCACGTAGTGTTACAAGTATAGGCATCGGCGTGTGGCTTTCCCGTGCCAACGGTCACCGTTTTGTAAGAATCAGAACGTGACTCCGTTGTGCCGACGTCCACCAGCTTCGTGGATATTAAGTTGTTTGTTTTGGAATTTTATAACAGTTGTCATGACAGACAATCAAGGATTATAGGAATCATCTTTCGATTCGGATTTTTGTTCAGGTAAGATAGGAAGTGATTCTACAATTGGTGAATTGTTCACTTGGACGGATATCGAGTCAGAATGTGAAGACGTAAATTCACTCCACGAATTTATTGAAATTGACCAAAATCATGAAAATCCAGCAGGATCTAGCTTTCCATTTACTGGAATACCAGCTATAAATATACCAGCTACTAGTGAAGGTCGAGAGGACGATATTTTAAATATTTTCGAGCACTTTTTTACCAACAACATAGTGAGCCTCATTGACAATGAGACAAACAGATAAGCAAAAGTTCATCTAGAATCGACTAAATAACGTAATTTCTCATGTGCAAAACAATGGAAAGACACTAATGTAACAGAAATGCATGTATTGTATTACGCGCCTCCTTCTTAGATCACCATGTAGTACCTCTACTTCATGCCAATGTCGCTACAAAGTTTATAGCCAGAAAAATAAAACTTGAACTCGATCTCCGCTCCTTGGTCTGTGACGTCGTATCCAATTCCATCATTCCTTTGTTTTGTGCCAAAGAAGCCACGCGGGTATATATTGTTTTGAGAAAGAGTTTAAGAATTATGGATCAGAACAAGAAAAAACGGGATACTGATGACATGGAAAATGGACTAGTGAAAGAGTTGAAGCGGTTAAGAAAGGAGATGAAGAGGCAGAAAAACGGTATTCGACGTTTAAAAAGACGCCGTAAGTATAACCTCACTTTTTCGTTTCAGATAAGTGATCGACACGTAGTTAGCCGATATCGACGATTAATGGGAGGGAAGAATAGAAAAGCATTTTATTTCCCAGGGAAATTGAAATGTTGGATAAAGACCAAAAGAGAAACAAGTTTTCTCTAACATAATTGTTTGTCATATATATTATAACAAATGCGTCCAAATAGTGATTTGGTTAAGATAAAGTCCCTGGACAACGTCCAGCAAAAGAAAAAGCAAATTATAGTTCAAATGTGTGTTACGCGGATAGAATAGTATTGTGGTGGCTGTAGCACCACGCACGCCAATGCATATTTTGCTTCTAAGAATTTCTTTTTCCTTTTCAACTCTGTTACGCTATTATTCTCTATTTCCTGTCTGCTGGTCGCACATTTGGTGACAGGCCCTTCACTAATTACCAACGCATCCTTGAGAGCGTCGCCAGAGTTCTGGTTTTCGTTAGTCTCGGTCCTTCGCCTACCTCTTAGCTTTCTCTGTTTATGACTCTTTTCCGCTGTCCCTATTGCTGTCGCTGATTTCTCAGGTTTTCCTTTTCTATTCTCTTTTCTTTTTCTCTCCCATATTTTTGCCTTTTCTAACTCCGGGGGATTTAGGAAATGCAGCGAGCGTAGGGAGTGGATGGTAAGCCTCCGAGGTTACAACACCAACACGGCACTAGTATTCGCGCTTACTGATTGTACCAAATAAACGAAGTGAGGACAATTTCTGTTGTTTTATACCACCTTACCCACTTCAGTATTCTGATCCAGAGTACACATACAGTTTTGATAGGCTGAAGTAATAATTGTAAAATGTGTCAAGAATACTAATGAAGGTTTAATTTTGCCTCCTTTATAACAAGTAAGGAATTCTCCTCGTCAGGCTCGGATACCTATTTGCAGGAAAGTTCCTTGCGTCAGCCTTTACTTTCCTTAGAAAACTTGCTGCCGAGAAATGAAGGTACTGATAAAGAACATTCAGAGGACAAACTTGAAGCTCTGGAAACACAGTCTGTGTTAGGAAAGGGTGTGATAGCCTCAAACAAACAGACAGTAACAGCGGAGATACCAAAGGAGGGTACCTCTGAGGAGCAAGTGCTTGATCCAGAACTATTGCTTGCAATAGGAAGAAAAGTGGATGCATCGAGACCTCTTGTACCACGAATGAAGATGTAATGGTTAGATGGAGTGATATTCTTAAGGAGGGGCTTCCAGAGGAAGAAAGGAAGAATTTGTTAAAGAAATATCTTACATTGGAGAATGGGGCGACACTGGAGCCCCCAAAATTAAATCCAGAACTAAGGGCGTCTCTTTTAGAGCCACTTATATCAAGGGATAATAGGATAGTGGAAAAGCAGCAGAAGGTGTCAGTTTGTCTGGCGGCAATGGGCCCATTGATCGGGGACCTCTTAAGAGTGGAGAAGCCAGACAGTTTGGTGTTACTGTCTACGTTAAGTGACGTGTGCAGAGTATTAGTGGATTTGCAACGTGATGAGTCGCAAACTAGGCGGTTTCCCTTGCACGTATTCACATTATAGAAGATGCTACATGTAACTGCGGTTTTGAAACGCAGGATCTAAATCACGTGCTTTGGCAATGTCCTTTATTTGATTTTCAAAGAATCGAACTGATGGAAAAGCTAAGTAAACTTGGCTTATTTCCACCGCTTAGTGTGAGATCTTTGCTCTACAAACCGAACATCGAGGCATGTTGTTTAGTTTATAATTTCTTTAGAAAATGTAACATAAGAGTTTAACGTTCCATAAGTAGTGTTTAAGCTATAAATAATGATTTAGTTATTAATACTTGTAACTCTTTTGTATAATTAGTTGTAAGCCTTATGTAAAGCTTTATAACTCTTCTTTCAGAGTTCAATCTAAGCTCAAATAAAAAAAAAAAACTAGGTGGTTACTGATTTTATCAAAACTTAACACCTCATTGAAGACGGCAAAACTGCTGGAACGGTCAAGAAAGTTGAAGAGTACCGTTTCAGTGAAACGGACAAAAGACTTGGGAGGCCCACCTCGTCTTTCAACTTCTTACAGTGTATGCAGAGTGGCAGAGGGGGGGGGGGGCAATGGAAGTTGGAACTCCAGGGTCAGACGCAGAATTTGGAACTGAAGATCTCGCATTATCGCAGGCCAGCCTCAAACAGGGATCGGAACAACACAGCGAAGAAGTAACCACAACGGTGAGTATAGGTGGTAAATTAAAGGAGTTTTTGCTTATGTGGAAAGAGTTTTTCAAAGATAAAACGGTTTTGAAATGGGTAAAAAGGTATGAAATGCGTATTTCAAGTAGAGTGACTCAAACGTGGCCCCCAAATGAATCTAAATGGTTGGAAAAGGAAGCAAGCCAAGTTACTGTGCAGATTGAAAAATTGCTTTCAAAGTGAGCAATTCGTAGATGTCAAAAGGAAGATGGGCAGTTAATTTTAAATATTTTTCTAGTACTGAAGCCGAATGGATCCAGTCGGTTTATTTTAAATTTAAAATATTTGAATCAGTTTATAAAAGCAGATGATTTTAAACTCGAAGATATTAGAACAGCTAGGACTCTAATGCAGAAGAATTGTTTTATGACAACTATTGATTTGCAAGATGCATATTATTTCGTAGCTATTGCAGAATCTTATCAAAAGTATCTCAGGTCTAGGTTTAAGGGTCGGCTGTTCGAATATGTCTGGTTGCCTTTTTGTTTAAACATAGCTCCATATTTATTCAGAAAAATTATGTAACCGGTAGTTGCTTGGTTGAGAGAGCGAGGTTTTGTATCAGTGATTTATTTGGATGACATATGCCTTTTAGGTAATACAGTAGAACAATGTCTTTCAGACACGTAGGTTGTTAGAGAAGTTAGGTTTTGTGGTGAATGAGGAAAAAAGTCAATTAATTCCAACTCAGAGATGTAGGTTTTTAGGATTTGTTTTGGATTCTGGGAAAATTAGAATTGAATTACCCCACGAAGAGAGATTGAACATAATTAATTCAATTGCCAGGCGTGAAAGAACATCTAAGGTGAAAATAAGGGAATTTGCATCTTTAGTAGGAACTTTGAGGACGTGTTGTCATGCAGCAAAATATGGTTGGGTGCATGTGAAAAACTTGGAAAGGGAAAAATTTCTAGCGCTTAGCCACTTCGTTCTCTCGGACGTGTTATCC